TCCAATTTCTAATTAAGTCAGCTGAGGAGAAGTCCTTGAAAAGTTGTTGTACTGTCAACCAATGAAGAATCTTGATGGTAATGGCCTCAACAAGTGCTTCTTTGGATTTTTCTTGTCCTTGGAAAATCTTATTATTTCTCTCATTCCAAATTGACCAAAGGATGTCTGCTCTTGTTATTCTCCACATTACCCTGCCTCTTTTCTTTGGTCGCCAGAAGAAGCTAGAGTCAAAGAGATTCAACACACACAAGGGAGATTCCATCTGCAACCAAAAAGAGAAGAGAACCAATCCCACAAATAAGAAGCAAAAGGACAAGAAATCAAAAGATGAGTCACCGTCTCACCACTTCTTAAGCAAAGGCAATAGACATGTGGAGAAAGGCACCAATCTGGCCTTTTTCTTTGAAGTACATCCATAGTGTTGATCTTTTGGAGATCCACTTCCCAGCAAAAAGCCCTAACCTTTGGTGGAATAGGAGCACACCACACTGCTTTAGTAGGAAAGGAGAAAGGCACAGTAGATGGCTGAATTAGGGCATTGAAAAAAGAGGAGCAAGAGAAGGCCCCTAAGAGGATTCTGTCCAAATACTACTGTCTGGGCAAGAATGATCTAGGAAAACTGAGTTCAACACAGAGAACAATTCATTTGCACAAGCCAATTCTAATCCTTCAATCCTCTTCTCAAGCCCAAGTCCTAGGTCCCTCAGATACATAGAAAGAGGAAATGACTGAATTTATTTAGGGAAAGAGAATACATTATCAGGAATTTGTCCTTAAGGGGGGTGTTCCCAAGCCAAAGATCCTTCCGAAAAAGAATTTTATTACTTGAGCACAGATCAAATATGATGAAAGGGCGAAAGGAAGGCAAGATTCCAGCAATGGCCTTCCAAGGGGAGAAGTGAGTAGCCCTAGGGTCAACACCAAAATCCCATCCATTAGCTGCCATCTCGTGAATACTTTCCACCACCAAGTGCCACAAATTGTCCTACTCTAGGGGAAACCTCCACAACTACTTTCCTATAATGCTATATTTCTTAATATAATATTGCCAATGCCTAAACCCCTGAAGTCCTTTTTCCTAGAAACTACTTCCACTTCACTAGATGGTCCTTTTTTGAGTCTCCTAGTTCCCACAAAATCTCTCATGATCTTTTCTATCTTGTTGGAAACTTTGACAAGACTTGAAGGTGGAAAAAAATACACTAGAAGGTTGGTCAAAGTGGATTTGATCAGAGTGATTCTACCTCCTAATGAAATATAATTTCTCTTCCACCCTGCTAGCTTCTTAGTGAACCTTCCTAAAACTGGGTACCAAAAGCTTTCAGTTCTAGGATTTCCCCCCACGGGCAAACCTAAATACAACATGCGCCAATCACTAACCTCACAGCCCAAAGACCTAGCCACCAATGCACCTCGTCTTCCTGTAAATTTACTCCTGCTACACAACTCTTATTCCAATTGACTTTCAGATTTGAGACTCTCTCAAAGTGTCTCACTAATGATTTCAAATTATCTATCTCCTCTATTTCCCCTTCACAAAAAAAAAATGATGTTGTCTACAAACTGTAAGTGAGTAACTACCACTTGTTGCCTCCTAGCTCTCCAACCTTTGATTAGGTTCTTGAATCAGCCTTGAAGATCAAGACACTTAAGACATCCACTACTAAAGTGAAGAGGAAAGGTGACAAAGGGTCTCCTTGTCTAAGGCCTTTCGTAGCAGGGAAGAAGTCCCTAGCTACTCCATTTACTAGACTGAAAAATGACAAGAGATGATACAACCCTTTATCCAATTACACCACTTCTCTCCCAAACCCCTATTCCTTAACACTTCAAGCAAAAACTCCCAATCCACCAAATTGTAAGCCTTTTCTAGGTCAAGTTTACAGATGGGACCCCTTTCTCCTTTTCTTTTTTTGTAATCCACACATTCATTGGCTACTAAGACTTGATCAATAATTTGTCTCTCTTGCACAAAAGCCCCTTGATTTAGCAAGATTAAGGAGGGAAGGACTTTTTTAATCCTTAGGGCAAGAACTTTAGATATGATCTTATATAAACTCCCAATCAAACTAATTGGTCTAAAGTCCTTAGGTTGAATTGTCGGAACCCTCTTTGGGACCAAGGCTATAAAAGTAGCATTTGCACCCGCATTTATTTTCCCTCTTTCTAAGAACTCCAAGAAGACATCCACCAAGTCATCACCTAAAATACCCCAACAATCTTGTAAAAAGGCATAGTGAAACCATCTTGGCCCAGGGCTTTTGATCTTTCCATAGAGAAAATTGCCTCCTTTATTTCCTGAACCTCAAAAGGCCTCTCCAAGGGTTCCAACAAATCCCTTTTTCTAGCAATCCACTCAAATTCGCCTAGAGTCTCTCTCACTCTACTGGGACTATCATAAATGGATTTAAAATGCTCCACAAAGGCTTTTCCAATATCTTCCTCTCTTGTTAACACTACATCATTCCATTTTTGTCTCCAGCTTGTCTCCATTTCTGCTATATCCATTCTTAAAACTGTGCAGGAAGCTCTCTTTATGCTTGAGTGGAAGGATGCAATGGAGGAAAGGAATGCATTTACTAAAAATGAGACATGGGAGTCGGTTGATCAACCTGAAGGAAAGAAACCAGTTGGATGCAGATGGGTGTTCACTGTGAAACATAATGCAGATGGCTCAGTTGAAAGATATAAATCCCGTCTTGTTGCAAAGGGCTACACACAGACCTATGGCATTGATTACTTTGAGACTTTTGCCCCAGTTGCTAGGATGAACACTGTCCATGTTCTGTTGTCACTAACTGCAAATGGCCTATGTTCCAAATGGATGTCAAGAATACTTTCCTCAATGGTGATTTGTAGGAAGAGGTGTATATGAAGTTACCTCCTGGCTTTTATGATATGGATGCAGGAAAGAAAGTTTGCAGACTCAAGAAAGCATTGTATGATTTAAAGCAATCCCTAAGGGCTTAGTTTGACAGGTTTATACTTGCTCTGGAGAAATTTGGTATATGCAAGCCATTCAAACCATACGCTTTCATCAAGAGCAGTGGTTCCTCCTTGACACTCCTTGTTGTATATGTGGATGATATTGTGGTAATAGGTAATGATGTTGATGAAATTAATTCCCTCAAACAATTACTTCACAGAGAGTTTGAGGAAAGATTTTGGTCATCTCAGATATTTTCTGGGAATTGAGGTGGCTAGATCTAAACATGGTATTTTCATTTCTCAAAGGAAATATGTCCTTGACCTTTTGGAGGAAACAAGAAAATTAGGGGTTAAACCTATAGATACTCCCATTGAATTGAATCATAAGATAAGTGCAAAAGAAGGTCAACCTCTTGATGACAAACCATGTATCAACGACTGGTTGGGAAACTTCTTTATCTTTGTCTGACTCGACTTAACATTTCTTATGATGTCAGTGTTGTTAGTTAGTACATGCATTCTCCAAGAACCATTCATTTGTTGGTTGTTGAGAGGATCCTAGCATATCTCAAGAGGTGTCCAGGTCATGAAATACTCTTCAAGAATAATGGTCATATGAAGATTGAGATGTACACTGATGTGGATTGGGCTGGATGTGTAGATGACAAGAGGTCTACCTTTGGGTATTGTGCCTTTGTTGGAAGAAATCTGGTTTCATGGTGGAGTAAGAAACAAAATGTAGTAGCTCGTTCAAGTGCTGAAGCGGAATACAGATCCATTGATCATGGAGTGGCAGAAGTACTATGGCTGAGATCTTTACTTAAAGAACTTGGAATTGAGCATGAGAAGCCCTTAATACTGTATTGTGACAATCAAGCGGCTATTAATATTGCACATAACCCAATACAGCATGACAAGACGAAACACATTGAGGTGGATAAACACTTTATTAGGGAGAGAGTTGCATATCAAGAAGTGTGCATGTCATATTATTGCCTCTGATATGCAGCTTTCTGATCTCTTCACCAAGGCAGTCACTAAAGTCAGGATGGAGATATTTATGCAAGCTGGGAATGCTCAATATCTATTCCCAACTTGAGGGGGAGTGTAGAGATGTAGATAGGGATACTTAATTGTTTTATATGTTTTTTTATATGCATATGTATGCTCCCCATCTTTATTTGTAATTGTTTCAGGCTGTTCTTGTTTTTCCTTCCTATGCCACAGTTGACACAGGTATTTTTGTCATTGTATCATCTTTTGTTAAGTCATATAAAATCCAATGAGGGGGGTGGCAGAACCAATTTCATTCTCCTCTCTCTTTCACTTATTCTTTCTTCTCTTCTCTTCTCCCTCTCTGTCATTCTTCTTTCTTCTTTTCTTTTCTTGAACAGATTTCGTACTAAACCTAGGACTGCTGCAGCTCTTTCAAGTATTAGTGTTGAGCTTGTCTTAAACATTAAGGCATCTCCTTTATCAAGGCTGGTCCCAAACCTTGATAAGGAGGATTGTGTCAGGTTGGAAGCCAGCATTCAAACTTTTTCCAAGCTCTTACAACCTGAATTATCATGATGACCTCATGCTAGGTCATATTATTGGTACTGAGGAAGTTGAATCAACAGGGTTCATGTAGCTGACATAATATAGTTGAGACAAACTTATTTGAGCAAATAGTGAATGAGGAAAAAGCTGGATATTTTTTGAGACAACATGAAACAATTAGAAAGTGTAACCATAGTACATATCTTAAAAATGTTTTTTGCTTTCTTTAAGTTTGTAAAAGATACGATCTTATAGACATATGGACACTTGTTTGCATTCAATTAGAGTATGCAGTAGACAAGGGGTAATAGTTCAGTTGCTTTGAATTGACAATTGTTCAGCAATCCAGCTGGGTGTATCCATTCCTCTAATGGGTTTAAAATTCTGATGGTTCATGACAATGGATTTCTGTAGAAAAAATACATGTAAGTTTATAGGAAATAATCTATCCTTGATATTCATTAAAAAAAGCTATCCTTGATAAGAAACTATTAATATATAATGATTCTCACAATAGTGTTATTATTCAGGATAGAATTCTGATAGAGGACCCAAAGTTTGAAGCATTTTGGCAGAGGAATGTGGAGGAATCCATCCGCCAAGGAAATCCAAAACCATTTGTGGAGGAAGCAATACTACAGGTGTCAAATTGGGGTTTTAACCTTGCAGACCTTAAGGTGCAGAAGAAGCGCCTAGGAAAAGGCATCCTTCCTTGGCTCAAATCCATGTACAGTCAAGCTGATTGGGAGTTGACAGGCTTTCTTGGCCCAATACACATTTGGCAGGTCTGCACATCTTTCCAATTTATTCTCTTTCACCCAAAGTTACTAGTGTCCTATATGTGTTGTAAGATAATTTATCTTACTAGAAATTTTGGGTTAGGGGACTTGACTTTTTTCTTTCTTTAATTTTTCTTAAGGCTAGTTCTGAAAGAGCACAAATACAAATGTGTACAGTGCAAAAACATACAAAATACAAGGTTTTGCACTCTACATGTTTGTGTGTGCACTCTTCCCAAACTGAGCCTTGGAAGGAGTACAAATACAAATATGTAGAGTGCAAAACCTTGTATTTTGTATGTATTTGTACTGTACATATTTGTACTTGTACTCCTTCCAAACTGAGCCTAAGGCAAAAGTTAGAAGGTAAACGATAGCATCATGGACTTAGCCATCACTAGTTCTTAAATCACAACTCACAAGGAGACAAGATGTAACACCCCATGACTCCCTGTATTTGCACAATAACCTTTGCTTATGTTTTCTCTGTGATCTAGTATCTCCATGATGGACAAGGCATGTGATGTCAGCATTGTTCAATTTTTTGTTAGGCTGTGGGAATGGGTAGGTAGGTAGTAGTCATCAAATCGGGTTAGGTGTTGGCATTTGGAGATTTCATGAATGGTCATGCATAAATGCTGCCTCCTCATTGTCATCCTACTTAATAAACAACAGATTACTGTTGCTTTGATTATATATTTTTTTGAGGGTATTTTTGTAAATAATGTTTCAATGTTAAGCAGGGGATGGATGATCAGGTTGTGCCACCAGCAGTGACTGACTTTGTGCACCGGATTCTACCAGAGGCTATAGTGCATAAGCTTGTCGATGAGGGCCATTTCTCGTATTTCTGTTTCTGTGATGAATGCCATAGACAGATTTTCTTGACTCTTTTTGGAACACCGCAAGGCCCTCTCAACAGGACAATTGAGCCTAATCAAATTATTTTTGGGGAGATGGATGGTCCAGTTGAGGTTCCCATTACTGATTCTACCACCTATTGAAATATAACTTCTGCTTTAGTTTCATCAAAATTTCTGGTATGGATTCGGTTCAGTTTGAGAAAAGAACTCCTGTAAATACTACACTTCTGCTTCATTTAATTGTGATGCGAAATTGCCTACAAGTTTGTAGTCAAATTCCCATTTCTTTCTGCAACGCAACAGGAAGGAGATGAACGCAGAATGCATGGAGAGTTTTGGATGAGATGTTGAATAAAGTGAAAACGGGAACAATTTTAATTGTGTTTCGTCTCCCTTTCAAGGAAATGGTTTGCAGCGCTTCCTATGTTGTAAATTTTGAATTCAACAATGGATTTGTGCCCTGTAAAGCTTTTAATGTACCAAAAATGGATTTCAGTCACCACTCAAAGTGAATTTTGTGGCCATTGCAGGCTTTGCAGAATATCTCAACTCTTCGCCACCAGATTATGAGGTTCTTTGACTTCTTGTAGACCACATCATCTCTCAGCCAACTAACATGATGTTCTTGTAGATCACACGAAATAAAATAGTTTTGTATGTGCTAATGTTTAAATGCACGAGCACAACTTCATCTTCTAGAAATAGAACATTTTTTCGGTATCAAATTAAACTAAAACCCGTGCGATGCACAAATTTTATTAAATAAAAGCTAAACAATAGAAACATATAAGAGTATACGGTTATTTTATATCTTAATTTTTAAATAATTAATAATTTTTTTATATTTTATATACTACTTATAAGGGTAAAATATAAAAAGCTCCCATGAAGTTTCTGACAATCATAAAAACCTCCCCTGTAGTTACATTTTAACGAATCTCTCCTGAACTTTTGAAGAACTTGACAAAAACCTCCCTTCTGTCACCTTCCCATATGGAAAAAGTTAGATTGATGTACCAGTTTCTTCCAAATACCCATTCTACCCTTTTATAAATTATTTTACATATAAAATTACTGAATAACCTTGTTTTGATTTGACAAAAACATTAGAAGATGATTGTTAAAATGATGTTTTTGTCAAGTAAAAATAGGGTTATTTCAGTAATTTTGTATGTAAAATAATTTATAAAAGGGTAGAATGGGTATTTAGAATAAATTGGTACATCAGTCTAACATTTTTCGTCTAAAAAAGTGTTGGAAGGGAGGTTTTTATCAATTTTCTCAAAAGTTCAGGGAAGGTATTTGTTAAAATTAAACTATAGGATAAGTTTTTATGATTGTCAAAAACTTCAGGAAAGGTTTTTGTATTTTACCCCTACTTATAATAATCTTTTTACAATAAAATAATAATAATAATAATTAATTTTAGTTAGAGTTGTTCACCAAACCGATGAAACCGACCAACCCAACCCAACTCGACCCGTGTTGGTTGATTTTTTAATATTTTTTATTAGCTTTTGCTCAGCAATTTTCCAACCCAATCAGGTTGGGACAGTTTTCGTTTGGTCATTTCTAAATTGAATTGACTTGACCATATATATATATATTAGATTTCAATAAATTTTTTAATATAGAAAAGAGAAAAATTCCCATATTTCTTAGTATAAAATATTTTAATAATATTATTATAAGATTTTAAATTTAATTTTAAATTTTAAGTTTAAATATTCTAAATCAACCGAACATACCAAAAATCGACCCAAACCAATACAACCTGAGTTGCCTAGTTTTCACTAATGGTCAGTTGGTATCGGGTAACCAATTCCTTAACTTGACCAGGTCAATTTTTTTGGCCAAACAACTTGCAACCGAACCAATCTGATCCGTGAACACTCCTAATTCCAGCTAAATTAATAGTCTAATTTCTAATAAATAACAATAGTTTAATCTCCACTAATTATTGAAAATTTATAGCGAAAATACACAATTATTGAAAATAAATTTATAATAAAAATATAATAATTACAAAAATAAATATATACTAAAAATAAATTTATAACAAAAATACAATATGCACAATAAATTAAATTTAAAAGTTAAATAATAGTAGTTTAATCTCCAATAATTATTGAAATTTTTTTGCTAAATAACAAAACAAAAATAGATCTATACATAATTATTAAAAATGTATTTATCGCAAAAATACAATAAATATTAATTTTAGTATATATAAATATATAATAACTATAGGTTAAGAATATAAAATTATTGTTAATAAATATTATTGATACAAGTGAAATTAGTTATTTATAATATTATTTAGTTATTTAAATAATATCATTGTTTAAATTTGTAAAGTAATAATTATTTATTGAATTTATAATCCGGTATAATAATTAAAACCGGTCTAAACCAGTTTGAATTATAAGATTAAAGGATTGGATCTATGTCAGTATTCCGATCCGATCCGTTATATTGTCTTCTTAACCCGGATATGTGAATAGTGTCGCTCGACACTGTGGACGACAACAGACGCTGGGGTGACTTCTTTGGCGACTATTTCAATCCCGTTCAACCCAGAAACAATCGGAAAAGTCATCAAAGAACTCACTGCCAATATAATTCATAAAAAAGGCGAAAAAAATGAAGAAAGATTTGGATTTGAGTCGGAGAATAAAAAAGAGTTTTGTAAAAACACTACCTATGTGTGAAATTGAAAAACAGACGCCGAAAAAACAGTACTGGTGAGCGAGAATCTGACCACTCCCAAATTCGATGGAGAGGATGATCACTCCAAAAACAAAATCTGAACGCTCCACCCCTGATTCAACCAAAAAACTGTGAAGAAAAAAAACGTAAGTTCCGCCACTGCTTCGCCCAAAATGGTGAGCAACGAGAATAAAGTAATGGTGAGCAACATCCAAACCAGTGATCAAAAACACCTGGTACGAAAAAAATGCAAGACTGGTCAAAACAAAAGCAACATTGATAAAAAAAAAAAAAACAGAGGTTGAAAAAACAAAAAACAAAAAACAAAGGACGTCACTGAGGATGGTGAAGTGGTGTCCCTGTATTCAAACAAAAGCGTACCTGTAGTTAACACTGCCTAGGCAAAGAACACAGTATTCATGAAACAGGATCGTCTTCGAACAGTGCTGTAACTGTGTCTTGAAAAGGGGCACTGGGCTCTTGAACGGTGAGAGGGTTTAGAGTTTACGTAGAGAGAGGAGAGAAGAGGGAGGAGACAGTGAATGTATCAGTTGGGAAAAACTTCGTTTGTATAGAAGACCGAAGATTTGTGACTGGATTAATTAGACGAAGGGTAGAAAATTAATAGGCGTGTTGGCCCTCTTTTCCTTTTCCATGACGTCTCCTCTCACGGTTAGGAAATGTGAAGTGGGTGGGTAAGGCATAATGAGGTGTACAAACGAGAGAGAAGGAAGTGATGAGGTGGCTTCAACATGCAGCTAAGAAAAGGCTAAAATGAAGAGGGTCTGTGGAGAAAGCTCAGGTCATATGATTAACCATTGATGACTGCTTTTTTATTGTGTTTGAGTGTACAGGTTTATTGCTTAAAGCAGAACTACTATCGTTATTTTTATTTGTGATTAACCATTGATGACTGTTTTTTAGATGATAAACAACGTAGGTTCAAGTTCTAGGCTTCTTAGTAACTAGAAAGAAGTAAGGGTTCAATTTGTATTTCATTGGGCTTCTTAGTAACTAGGCTTCTTAGTACTAGTTAATTGATTAATTATATCCTTGCTATTTAATTTTGTTTTTGCACCGATCGCTGCTCTGTCAACATCTTCATCTCCATTTTTTGTCTCCATTTCCGTCTCTATTTTTCATCTTAGAATAGAATCCCTTCTTTCCCAAACTCCTCAATTGTCGCCTCTGCATTTGTGGAACACAGAAAAGATCTTCAAGAAATAGAACATTAGGAGGCCATGGATGTTGCAGTTCCAGTAACATCGTCCCAGCTCCTCTTCTCAACCTCTCCCCCTATCTTTCGTCTCTCTCCTCTCCATGTGTCTCTGATGCTAAGTTACTATTCTCATGACACACCAATAGCAAAAGACAGAGCATTTTCGGAGGTTACACGGGTGGCAACCGGTGTGCGGCTGTTGGAACAGAAACAAAGAGGAAAAGTAGGTTCGAGATTCAAACTCTAACAAACTGGTTGATGGGTTGATGAACTTGGCGATACTCTTCTTACTGGGATCTCTTCTCGGAGTTCGTTTTGGTCTTTCAGAGATCCTGCTCCAACGGGATAAACAAAGAACCCACGATGAGTGCAGGGTCTCTCTCCTGATCTCCCGATCTCTCGAGCTTGCAGGTTGCAAACTCTATTGTTTGATTGATCTCTGTTTGGCTAATTAAGTAACTATGTTCGGTATCATTTGCTTGATCTCAGAAAAAACAGATAAGTAATATGTGGTCACCGATTCTCTATTCTCTTAAATTAATATCCAAAATATAACACCCCTAATGAAGCGAAGGAAGATTGAAATAGAAAAAAAAAAGAAGCAGAATCGGTCACCGTATATAACTAAGCATGTGTTTGGTTTGGTTTACATTTTTTCATTCAACCTTTATATTTTATTTATTTATAAAATCGAGAAAGGTAATAATTATAATCGTTTATAACAACTAAGTGTTACTAGTCACCACATTAGCATAACAGTGAAAAAATGTTTAATCGTTGGGAAAAATTTTAAAAAATAACTTCCCCAAATAATAGGCGTGTATAAAAACCGAAGTCACCTTTTGCCATTCTCAATAAGTACGGAAGAACATAAAAGGAAAATTACTGAAGTGACACCTATATAACAACATTTATTGAATAAACGCCCACTGTTCCAAACACCCTCTAAATCTATGGGGTGAATCTTGGGATGAGCTTGACCTTTACAACGGTGGGCTGAGATGGAGGCAAGACACCTTTGCCCAAAATCTTGAAATAACCAAAATGGTTAAATGGGAATGGAACTATGGACTCTATTTGTGTGTGTGGACTTTTTGTGGAAGCTTTGCTTTGGGTAAACCCGTAAAACTATAAGAGACGGGAGGAATGTAGCTTGGCGTTTCAAGAGCGATGCAGTGATGCATCTACCATGGCAACAACAATAGTTGATTCGATATATAACAATTTTTTAACCCGTTGTTGATTCGGACGGTCGAACCGTCTGAATCATCACCCGACCACATTTCCGGTTCCAGTTTCACTAAAACTTGTTTTTAATGGAAAATCGTTGATCAAGTCAACAAATTGTCGATCCAGATGGTTAAACCGTCAACCCAGATGACCCGGTTAGCGGGTGACGGTTAGGTTTAAAATTTTTTAAAATGCCAGACGTGTCCTAACCCTTTGCTCGACCCCAACCCTCTTTTATTTTCATTCTCCTTTTACTTTCTTTTTTCATTTTAGGGATGAGAAGAAACGAAGAAGGAATTTCTATCTTTCATAAGAAGAGAATAGAGATCCCACCATCTTTGAATGAGAGATTTATCGCCAGCAATTGCAATAGTTATCTCCGGGG